AGTATTTTTCCCTACAATATCCTGTTAACCATAATCATTTTGACTAGGTCCAAGGAAAGCAAGCCAGTAACTGGCCTGACATGTAGTAGATGCTGCAGAAAGCATTATAAAGCACTACCATAAAAGAATAATGACTTACATATAGTAAGTGCTGGCCATGAGTCAGACGCTTTTGTAAACGCTTTATATGTACAGTACAGCTCATTTAATCCTCACAATCACCACACAAGATGTGGGCTTTGGTCATTCCACTTTACAGATGTGCAAAATGAGATCCAGAGAAATCAGCTGCTGCCAGAATTGAACACTGACACACTTGGCTGCTCACCACTGCACATCATGCCTAATCACATCTCTTCTGAGTCTCAATCAGTCAAGGTGAAATTCCAAGGACGTCCCCTGGCCTAAACTGCTACAGTCAATCTCGAACCAAGATGCAGGTAGACAGCAAGACCTTGGAAACATCAAACTGGGCCGGGAGTGGAGCCCAGAGGAAAGCCTGAAGCCTGATCCTTAGCATCACAAAGGAAGAGGAGGAAGGGGAGGGGGAGAAGAGAGGGAGGAGGGATAGGGTAAGGAGCAGAGAAACAGCACAGGATTATTCCTTTCCCTCACTTCCTGAAATATTGTTTAAAAGAAAAGGAAAACGAACACAAAACTCTACCTATTTACTGTGAACAAGAAGGGGGTTTAAAAGTTTCAAAACTGAAATCCAGCTTCCTTGTTATGATTTGGAATATGAGGAGGGGCAAAATGCATGTTCAGGAAAACTATTTTTTTCCAGAGAAAGAGGGGGCTAGTGAAGAGGAAGAGGAGAGGCATAAGGAAGGTGAAAAACAGGAAAGGAGGAAAGGAGAGAGAAAAGAGCAAAACCATACTTCAGGAAACTTGAGTTGAAGAGGATGCAATGGGAATGGGCCCAAGAGGTGGAGGGAGAGGCGTACATGTGCCACCTCCCCACATGTAATCACAATGTGGTCACCATATATTGCAAACATAATGATAAGAATAATTTTTAAAGAAGGTATTAATTTAGTTCAATGTAATCCAAACCTTGCATTTTTAAAAAGGAGAATGCTATCAATCAAATGTTAAATGTTTTGTCAGGTAATAAGGTTTAGTAGATCTAATTTTTAGTCTAGGATATTTTTCACCTCTCCAATGCTTGCAATTTAAGAAAAAGCTTAAAATGGATCAGAATTTCATATGCCTCTGGTCAATGTTTCAACAGTCTGTTTGTAACTTAATTGTGGGTTCCTAAGAGAAAATTTGTTTCAAATTCTAGCCCAGGATTCAAAAACTTGCATAGTACTACTCTGAAAACCCAGTTACTTTAATTCAACTACAGGTCTTTCCTAAACTTTCAACTACAGGTCTTTCCTAAACTTTCATACATAGTATCATTTTTATGGTAAGATCCCCCCACTTAAATTCAACCTGGAACACTAGATGCCAGCATCCATACTTTATATAATGGGTTTTAGGCCCCTGAAAAGGGACCTACATTCCCTTCCTCTCTAAGCAGACAGATGTGTTGCTGGCTTTGCTGCTGGGGAGAGATCCAGATTAGGCAAGGGCAGGATTAACACGTTGGATATTAGCAATCATTAAATTTCTATTTAATGCCGAGACTAGGTGTAGAAATCAAGTATACCTGGGCTGTCAGACTGTTACTGATTTCCAAGGCCCCTCCCTCTGCACCCTTCAATGGAGACCTGGACATGGGGACTGGCACCCAATCACTAGGTGTTTCTCAGTTCATAAAAAGTGCTTCACAAGCCATGACTAAAAATTCAGATACTTCTATATTTCATTTTAAACGTTTTCTAGCATTAAAATTTTACAATCCAATTCCTGATGACATTTTATCATCTGCAATGAATCACTATGTGTGAATCATAATAAACTGTTATCAAGGCTATGAATAATAAAATGATTACCAATGTAGCCAACATTTATTGGCGTATCAAATAAAAGTAAATCTAATTTATAAAAAGAAAAAACTTTATTTAGGCAATCATCAATGGAACATCTGAAGCATTTCTAAGTTTAATTGAATAGTACCATCATGTAACATCCCCAATTTAGTAATGGTAACAACCCTAAGAGATTAAGATAATTCCACTAAATTGTTAAAATGACGAGCAACCAGTGTGAAACCACTGGTGAAACCAGCAAATACAGGGTATAAACTGTTGCCCTTGGCAACCAGGGCTTGATCCCCTTACTCTGTAAAAAAGCTGTCTCCTTACTCTTGTCCATCAAAAGAAATGCTGACTTCTAGTACCCTTTCTTGGCAGTATTAAGACTCACATTCATGCATCTTCACTTTAGTTTTACTTCTTTTCTGTCTCCATTTGCAGCCACATAAAGTCTGGCTATGAAATACTCACGTCTCCAAACACACCTAGTCCACATCTGTGAAGTTTCAGATTCTTCTCCCGACTTCAGTCCCGGAAGAGCACTACAGAACCATGTAACACACTAGAGGAGTAATTATCTCCCAGTATGCTGAAGGTGCGAAGACAGCTTCTCACAGTGACACACAATCCCATGGACATTTATGCCCTAGAAGAACTTGTACTTTATCTTTCAATTAAGAATAAAGGTATGTTGTCCACCTTCAAATTAAGCAAGGTAGGGAGTTACCTCTCTATCGAAATTTTAAAAATCAGAGTTTAGAGCACCCTCCAAATATCTTAATATTTCAAAAGTCAGGTATCAACAGTTGTTTTTTTTTTTTTTGGGTTTTTCTCCGGTACCGGGAACCGAACTCACGACCTTGCACTTGCCAGGCAGGCGCTTTGCCGCTGAGCTAAATCCCCAGCCCCTATTTCAAAAGTCAGGAAAGGAGCTAAATTTACCAGATGGTTGGCATCACGTAGGGTATGAAAAAATCTATTTTAGAAGATCCCTGATTAACATCAGGTTAATAATTTACTATACAAGTTGGAAATACGGGTTGTTTTTTTAAAAAAAAAACTAATTTAGGTGAATTTCAAAATTTGGGGTTATATTTACTTTCTTAATTTATACATATCAGAAAAATGCAGTTGTGATTTAATACATATGCAATCTAAATACTCAAGGTCACACAACTGCTAAAGCTTTTATTCAATAATTTGGTAGTTTCTTTAAATTCTTATTATGTGAGGATATTCAATTCACAGAATGTGATTGGCTTATGCGGTTTGTAAAGGCACTGATAGTTTTTCCTTTCTGGCAGAACTCCAGCTGTCTCTACTTCCTTCCTTCCCTCTCTTATACTTTCCATCACTACTCTCTGCTCCTCACCTCTCTGCAAAGACAGCATAAAGAATTAAAGTAACAGGATACAAAACTTCCTCAATTTAGACTCTTTGGTATAACATATACAACACCAAATGCAACATTTTCTCCTTATATAATGCTAGGGGATAGATGGAGAATATACTTTAGTCAAAATACAATTTGTTAATTTTAATTGTGAAAGATCAGCATAAAAGCTTCCTCTCTTTGAGAGGAAGATATATTCAATAACAGAATATATTTCCAATTGAAAACTCTTTACCTGAGGAGGCTAAACCTATTTGCACAGCCAGTCATTTACCCACACATAGTCAATATAGTTGAGCAGGCTTTCCAATTTTCAATGTACTAGAAAGACAAAGTTTCCTTTTACATTCTAATTTTGACCTCAAATCAAATAAGCAAGAGTTGTTAAATTCGGTTGTGATATATTGTTACATAACACAAGTTTTCCCTTGGCATTTACAAACACCTACCTATATACTCCACAGTGTTACTAGATACAGATTTAACCTCCAAATTAAAGGTTCACTGATTATGGACAAACCTGAAAAAACAATGTAGCAACCAAAAGACACAACCTTTCATTTCCATTCCCTGGGCCCTTAACTAAAGGGCTCTCTTCTTATACTTTTCAGGGCCCTTGATCCACACAAAGTAGGGGTTGGAAGACAGCTGATTAGTTGGATAATTAACTATTTTACTGAAGGAGAAACAAAACAACCAGGTGCAGAGGCTTTATAGTAAACCAAACTGTGTCAAATAAAGGCATACATTAATGCTTTTCAACACCTAGCTACACTTGAGACACTGGCTTTTTTCATTTTCACACGTTCATCTTCCATAACTGTTTCACAGGCACCACAAAGGCAGATATTTGTATAACAGCAACGTATTTAACAGGAAAAGCATTCTTGTAAGTTCTCTTTAAAAAAAAAAATCTGAGCCCAATTCTACGGAAGCATCTTCTGCCAACATTTCACTCTTCTCTATTAAGAAAATGTGACCAAAACTGCATAGAAACCATTAATGATTTTACAAATAAATAATTTTCATTCTTTAAAACTTGCAGCCCTATTGCTTCTTTTTCCTTCAAACTCAGTAACAAAGAGAAAGAACTGCAACCTCCACTAATAAATTACATCGTGAAATACACACGATCGTGGCGTCTCCGCGTTACTGCCAGTGGTAACTGACACGCCCCGAATTTAACTGTACCAGACAGTTCTATCTGTCCCATCGCTGACCAAACACTGCTTCTCTGTTTCTATTCATTATGTATTATACGAGGCCTAAACACGAGCTCAGTATGACGAGGGGGGGAAAAATTACAATTCTTATGACAGCAAAGCGATGCATTCAAGATCTCTCTTGCAGTGCAGCCCAGTCCATGAGCATTAACAGGCATTTTTTGATAGAGCTAAAATATGTTGGCTACAAGCTCATTACTCTAAGAACCTTCTGCAGGTTTCCAGAAACCCCTAGAAAATCCAACCGCTATCCAAATCTTGCACACCAAACTTCCAGATTCTTATGCAATGATCAATAACCTTGGTTACGCCACAGTCGGCCCCCAACTGACGGTCCGGTGAGCCCACTGCAGCAAACACCTAGCCGAAAGGCTAGCTGAAGCCCAAAGAAACTACCGGGCTTCCTCTCCGCCGCCCAGTCTGCCGCATGGAGAAGCGAGGGAGGAGCGGAACGCGGCTCACCGGCTCCGAAGATGCTCCGGCGACCTCTGGCTGCGCCGCGAGAGCTGGGCCGGGAAGGCGCGCGAGCGGCCGCCGCGGGCCGCGGACTCTGCCCCTGGCGCATTCCTCACATTCCTGCGCGACGGTCGCCGCCGGGAGCGGCCG